TTAAGAGAAGGGGTTTCGCTATGTTGGCCAGGCTGGTCTCTATCTCCTGACCTCAAATGACCTGCCCTCCTCGGCCTCCCACAGTGCTGGGATTACAGATTGAGCTACCGTGCCCAGCCACCGTATTTTCTTTATCCAGTCTACCATTGATAGGCATTTAGGGCCTGTCCACCTCTTTGCTATTGTGAATGGGGCTGCAATGAACATGCATGTGGATGTGTCTTTATAATGAAATAATGTATATTTCTTTGGGTACATAGTCAATTATGAACTTCCTGGGTCAAATGATAATTCTGTTTTTAGTTCTGTGAGGAATTGCTACACTTTTTTTGAGACGGAGTTTCACTCACGTTACCCAGGCTGGAGTGCAATGGCGCGATCTTGGCTCACCGCAACCTCCGCCTCCTGGGTTCAGGCAATTCTCCTGCCTCAGCCTCCTGAGTAGCTGGGATTACAGGCACGCACCACCACGCCCAGCTAATTTTTTGTATTTTTAGTAGAGACGGGGTTTCACCATGTTGGCCAGGATGGTCTCGATCTCTTGACCTCGTGATCCACCCGCCTCGGCCTCCCAAAGTGCTGGGATTACAGGCTTGAGCCACCGCGCCCGGCCTTTTTTTTTTTTTTTTTAAAAGAGCTCTTAGCTTGGATTTTTTTTGAGATGGAGTTTTGCTTTTGTTGCCCAGGCTGGAATGCAATGGCGCAATCTCAGCTCACCTCAACCTCCACCTCCCAGGTTCAAGCAATTCTCCTGCTTCAGCCTCCTGAGTAGCTGGAATGACAGGCATGTGCCACCACGCCACGCCCGGCTAATTTTGTATTTTTAGTAGAGATAGGGTTTCTCCATATTGGGCGGGCTGGTCTCAAACTCCTGACCTCAGGGATCCATCTGCCTCAGCCTCCCAAAGTGCTGGGATTACAGGTGTGAGCCACAGCGCACAGCATGCCACACTGCTTTTTCACAATTCTTGAACTAATTTAACTCCCACCATCCCACCAACAGAGTGTACGCATTCTTTTTTCTCTGCAACCTTACCAGCATCTCTTATTTTTTGACTTTTTAAAAACAGCCCTTCTAACTGGTGTGAGGTGGTATCTCATTGTGTTTCTTTTATTTTTAATTTATCCAATGGTGAGCGATTAACTTTTTTTTATATGCTTGCTAGCCACAACTATGTCTTCTTTTGAAAAGCATCTGTTCATATTTTTTGCCTTTCGTCAAATTAAAAATTCCGCCCATGGCCACTTGGTAAAAGTATGTGTGTGTGTGTGTTTCAGGGACCATTGGAATTTATGGATGTGGCCATAGAATTCTCTCTGGAGGAGTGGCAGTGCCTGGACACTGCACAGCGGAATCTGTATAGGGATGTGATGTTGGAGAACTACAGAAACCTGGTCTTCCTTGGTGAGGATAACTTGAATACTTAATTCATAATATACCCTAAATGTTTTCTTTCTCTTTTTTTGTAGAATGTTTTTTAGTAATTAATTCTTTGCATAAAAGAGTTTCAGAAGCCCTTTTTCCAGAAACTCCTCAGAATTTGTTCACTTAGAAAATAATTTCTTTAAGACGTTTCATCTTAATTCAAACTTTCCAAATTCTTGAGTTGAGCTGTATCCTTCACTCTAAATTAGTGGTAATTTCAGCAATTAAGTGGCATAAAATATTGTTGCCCTCACCTGAAAATCTAATTGCCAGCACCAATTTTTGATTCAGTAGCACCAGGTAGTAGAATTGAAAAACCCACAAGCAGGGCTGAGCACGGTGGCTCACACCTGCAATCCCAGCACTTTGGGAGGCTGAGGCACTTTGGGAGGCTGAGGCAGGCAGATCACCTGAGGTCGGGAGTTTGAGACCAGGCTGACCAACATGGTGAAACTTCATCTCTACCAAAAATACAAAATTAGCCAGGCATGGTGGTGCACACCTGTAATCCCAGGTACTCTGGAGGCTGAGGCAAGAGAATTGCTTGAACCGAGGAGGCAGAGGTTGTTGTGAGCGAAGATGGTGCCATTGCACTCCAGCCTGGGCAATAAGAGTGATACTTCCTCTCAAAAAAAAATAATAAAAAATGACAAATACAAGTTCAAAGTATTTTCTAATATTTAGAAATTTCTGTTATTAATTAGTATTTTTGTATTAATTTACTGGAATATTTTATCACATCCTCTCTAGCACATTACTAGCTTGTAAGTGGAGAATATGAGCCAGATTCATGTTATTTATTTTTAATAAAACAGGTATTGTTGTCTCTGAACCAGACCTGATCACCTGTCTGGAGAAAGGAAAAAAACCTTTGACTGTGAAGGGACATGAGATGATTGCCACACCCCCAGGTAGGTGCAAATGAAAATGAATACAACAGAGGACACACGATAAGACATCCCAAGGTCAAAGAGAAAGCCAGCCCTTAAAATGTGATGTGGGAAGCTGTGTGCCAAAGAAAACACTTCTGGGCAGCTAATTTTTTTTTTTTTTTTAATTTTGCTCTCACAAAGGGACATTTTCTGTCTAGGCTTTTAAATTCTTTAAAGATTCTGCTTTTCTTTCAGTGAGCTTCCTTCAAGGTTACAGTGAGAGCCAAAGTCCTCTTCATGGCGTGGAAGAGACTGCGCAGTCTGGCTGCTGTTTTATTGTTTTGGGGACACACAAATGTCTGCATGATTTTTAGAAACTAAAACTTTTTTTTTTTTTTTTTTTAAATAATAGAGATGAGGTTTCACCATGTTGGCCAGGCTGGCCTTGAACTCCTGACCTCAGGTGATCCGCCCATCTCAGCCTCCCAAAGTGCTGGGATTGCAGGCGTGAGCCACCACACCTGGCACTAAAACTATTTTTTAAGTCCTTTTTTTGCATCAGGACTGAAATGTGTGAGAGTAGTAGTTTCTGTAGCATTTTTTTGTTCTTTGTTCTGTGCAGTCCATTCTGTTTTTATTACTATATTGTTTGGAAACATACTCTGAAATTACGATATCCTTCTGCTTTGTACTTTTTACTCAAGATTGCTTTGGCTATTCAAAGTTTATTTTAGTTTCATGTAAATTTTAGAATTATATTTTTCATTTCTATGAAAAAAATACCACTGTAGTTTTCACAGGAAATTTATTGAATATATAGATCATTTTGAATAATAAGGCAATTTAATATGTATTCTTTCAGTGCATAGACACAAACTATTTTAAAATTGATTTGGACCTTCCCTAATTTTTTTCATTGATTAGTTATATTGTAAAGGTTCTTTTACCTCCTTGTATAATTTTTTTCTCAGAAATTTATTATTTAGTGCTATAGTAAATAAGATTTTTTTTTACATTTTTAATTTCTATTTTTTCTTTCTTTATTTTATCAGATAGTTTAAGTGTATGAAACCATACATATACTTGTATGTTAATTTTATATATTGCTATTTACTGAGTGTATTTATTATTTTAAATAGGTTTTAATATACTGTTTATGGTTTTTTCATATATAATTGTATGATCTAAAAACAGCAAATTTTTACTTATTTTTCCTAAATTTCCATAGATCTTATTATTTGTTTGACTAATTAATCTGCCACATACTTCCGGTACTACATTAGAATAGAAGCATTGACAATGAGCACAATATACTTTGTATTGGTGTCTGAATTTGATGGAGCAAACAACTCTTTCATTTTTCATAAACTGATTTTAGAAGGTAAAGATGTTCTTTGGTTGGGCCCTTAGGGTGCTGAGATGCCCTCTGACTTTGTAGTACAGAGGGGTTGTAGCTTTATCACAAGGCTGCTGGGTCTGCACTAGGGTCCACCTTTAGTTGGCTTGTTACAGGGGCTTAGGTAGTTGTAATTCCCATTTTATTTTTGGACAGACTGAATATCCTTCAGGACTTTGCTCCATTGGGCAGACAGTAGGTTGTGTTTTGGCAGTCTGGTCAGCATATGGTGGGCCTTATATCAGGATGTGGATGAGTATGGTTTTCATTAAATACCAGAAAGCATTTCTTCAGGTAACTGTGTGGGTTTCTATATAGGCAGAAGTACCCTAGACTGTGACTCAGGTAACTGAAACTGAGTCATTGAACCACTTCAGGGACTACAGTAAAGGCCCCGTTCTGCAGGCCTGCCCTTATGTCTGTAAATGGGTACCTTCCTCCAGGTCTCTGAAATGGCAGGACCTCTCCCAGACTGTGGCTGGGAGGAGTTTGGGATGGTTACAGAGTAAGTCCAGGATTCTCACTGGGACCAAGTTGGGTGAACCCTGTCCTGGTATGTAGCCAAGAACAGGGGTGCTGTAGTTTCCCCCCTGAATGAGGGCCTGCCTTCTCAATAGAACACTTCTCAATCTTAAGCTTTAACAGCGTTTCACAACTCCCTCCCTGGATCTCAGATCTCTCTTAGAGGCACTAACTTTGGAGATGGCATCTTGCTACATAACCCAGGCTGGTCTGAAATGCTGGCCTGAAGCGTTTCTCCAACCTTAACGTGCCATGTCACTGTCATTACAGTTTTGAGCCTTAATGCCTGGTTCTGTCATAAAGGTATTTTTGTCAGGGGTGGCTGACTTTTTTTTTTTTTTTTTTTTTTTTCTGCTGTAACCAGATATGAAAATAGGGCACTTTTAATGTTTTCTTTTTTTTGAGACGGAGTTTCGCTCTTGTTACCCAGGCTGGAGTGCAATGGCTCGATCTTGGCTCACCGCAACCTCCGCCTCGTGGGTTCAGGCACTTCTCCTGCCTCAGCCTCCCGAGTAGCTGGAACTACAGGCACGTGCCACCATGCCCAGCTAATTTTTGTATTTTTAGTAGAGACGGGGTTTCACCTTGTTGACCAGGATGGTCTCGATCTCTTGACCTCGTGATCCACCCGCCTCGGCCTCCCAAAGTGCTGGGATTATAGGCTTGAGCCACCGCGCCCGGCCAATGTTTTCATCTTACTGATACAACTCTTCTTATACATTTTTACTTTCTATTTCCTATTTCAACTTTGTCTGTAATTTTAGATTTAGATATTTAGGACAACATGGTAGAATTTGCATGATATGCCTGAAGTAAATGAGATAATTAGGCTCTCCATATTTACTAAAATAGTTGCTTATATTTTTAAGTTTGCTGCGGGTAAAAAGTAATATCTCATTTTCATCTACTTTCTTCAGCACATATCTAAATAATAACATAGTTTATTTCCTACTACATTTTTTTTGTAACATATCCGAGGGTCTAACTCTATTCTGCAAAATATTTACAAATATTTTCTGTATTTAACAATGTAAGACTATTCTTAGCTTTTTAAGTTGGATTACAGAAGTTTCGTTTTGTGTAACAATAGCATATATGTAAAACATAAAAAGTAGTTTATTTAAATGCTTATTTATTAAGAGTTTCTCATTAGAGTCCTGTATTTATAATCATACTGCATATTCTCTAAAATTTTACTGCCATACAGTGCATGCCAATGATTCAAAATACCTGTATTCAATGAGTACACAGTAACGGTTAAATATTGCAGTTACCTACACAAATTTTTGTTTTTGTTTTTTTGAGATGGAGTCACCCTCTGTCACCCAGGCTGGAGTACAGTGGTGCCATATTGGCTCACTGCAACCTCCACCTCCTGGCTTCAAGCAGTTCTCATGCCTTAGTTTCTAAGTAGCTGGGATTACAGGCATGTGCCACCACGCCTGGGTCATTTTTGTATTTTTAGTACAGATGGGATTTTACCACATTGGCCAGGCTTGTCTCGAATGCCTGACCTCAGGTAATTTGCCCACCTTGGCCTCCCAAAGTGTTGGGATTGCAGGTGTGAGCCTCTGCACCTGGCCTCAGTGTAGGTTTCCTAGCCTCAGTTTATTGTGTCTATTGGTTTTACTTGAGTATTATATTTTTAGACAAGTTGCAATTCTGTTTGTATGCTTTAAGTCAATTTGAGATTTAATTAAGAGATAAATTATGTATATCTATCACAATCAGATTATTTTTGTATGTGTGTTTATAAATATGTCCCCAATTTTGGATATGGCTTATCTTATATTTTCTTAGCTGATTTTTGATGGTAGTTTTATCTTGTCTAAGTGAGTAGTTATGGAGATAGTCTTATTTTCACCATGTGTATAACTATGTTATATATATATGTATATATATATGTGTGTGTGTGTATATATATATATATATATATATTTTTTTTTTTTTTTTTTTTTTTGAGACGGAGTTTCGCTCTTGTTACCCAGGTTGGAGTGCAATGGCGCGATCTCGGCTCACCGCAACCTCCGCCTCCTGGGTTCAGGCAATTCTCCTGCCCCAGCCTCCTGAGTCGCTGGGATTACAGGCACGCGCCACCATGCCCAGCTAATTTTTTGTGTTTTTAGTAGAGACGGGGTTTCACCATGTTGACCAGGATGGTCTCGATCTCTTGACCTCGTGATCTACCCGCCTCGGCCTCCCACAGTGCTGGGATTACAGGCTTGAGCCACCACGCCTGGCCTATATATATATATTTTTTAGTGAGAGAAACACTTTTGTGATTTGAAGGTAATTTTCAAAAAGATGTATAATTCTGGATTTTTTTTCAGTTTTTCTTTAAAAACATTGTTTATATACACATAACATAAAATGTACCACTTTAAATCTGTTGAAGTGTACATTTCAGGATGAGGTGTGATTGTGGCTTTTGTCTGTAATACCAGGATTTTTTTGGGCCAAGACAGGAGGATTCCTAGAGCCCAAATGTTTAAGACCACCCTGGGCAACGTATGGAGACCCCTCTCTATAAAAATATGTAATGTTAATAACAAGGCATGGTGGTGTGCAGCTGTGGTCCCAGCTACTGGGAGATTAGGGGGGAGTCAAAATTGTGCCACTACACTCCAGCTTAGGTGACAGAGTGAGGCCCTGTTTCAAAAAGAAAAAAAACTGTTCATTTCATGCATGTTAAGTATATTCAAATTGTTATGCAAAAGGCTTCTGGAAACTTTACATCTTGTAAAACTAAAACTCAATACCCATTAAGTGACAACTGCTCATTTTACCCTCTCTCCAGCCCGTGACAGACAAACCTTCCACCTTCTGTTTTTATAATTTTGGCTACTTAAGATATCTCATATAGGTGGAATCATACAGTATCCATAATTTTGTTACTGGATTAATTCAGGTGACATAATATTCTCAATTTTCATCCTACAATGCAACGAGTTTTATTTTAAAGGTAGAACAATATTTCATTGTACATATATGTGATATTTTTTGATATCTTTATAAATCAAGAGACATATGGGTTGCTTCAGCCTTTTTGGCTTTTGTGAATACTGATACAATAAACATGTATTTTCAAATATGTCTTCCAGGACCATTTTGTTTTTGTTTTTTGAGATGGAGTCTCCCTTTGTCACCCAGGCTGGAGTCCAGTGGTGCCATCTCAGCTCACTGCAGCATCTGTTTCCTGGGTTCAAGCGAGTCTCCTGCTTCAGCCTCCCAAGTAGCTGGGATTACAGGCTCCCTCCACCACACCAAGCTAACTTTCTGTATTTTTCGTAGAGACGGGGTTTCATTATGTTGGCCAGGTTGGTCTCAAGCCCCTGACCTGAGGCGATCTGCCCACCTTGGCCTTCCCAATATCTAGGATTACAGGCTTGAGTCACTCCACTGGCCTGTGTTACATATTTTGGATATATATATACAAATGAAGAACATTTTAAAATAATGACTGCATCTATGTTTTCCACCAGCAGTCCGCATCATGAGTTCCTTTTTTTTTTTTTTGAGATGGAGTTTCGCTCTTGTTACCCAGGCTGGAGTGCAATGGCGCGATCTCGGCTCACCGCAACCTCCGCCTCCTGGGTTCAGGCAATTCTCCTGCCTCAGCCTCCTGAGTAGCTGGGATTACAGGCATGCGCCACCATGCCTAGCTGATTTTTTGTATTTTTAGTAGAGACGGTGTGATCCACCCGCCTCGGCCTCCCAAAGTGCTGGGATTACAGGCGTGAGCCCACCGCGCCTGGCGAGTTCCATTTTTATGGTATCGTCTTTGGTGTTTTTAAAAAGATTTGTAGTGGTCATTCTACTGGGTGTGAGGTGATTTTGTTTGTGATTGTGGTTTTTTTTTTTTTTAATTTCTCTACAAATTAGTAGTAACTTTATGTGTTTTTTCAAATGGCGTCTCACTTTGTCACCCAGGGTGGAGTGCAGTGGCATGATCTCAGCTCACTGCAACCTCCACCTCCTGAGTTAAAGTGATTCTCTAGCCTCAGCCTCCTGGGTAGCTGGGACTACAGGCGTCCGCCACCATACCCAGATAATTTTTGTATTTTTAGTAGAGAGAGGGTTTCACCATGTTGCCCAGCATGGTCTTGATCCCTTGACTTTGTGATCTCCCCACCTTGGCCTCCTAAAATGCTGGGATTACAGGTGTGAGCCACGACGCCTGGCACCATTTTTCTTTTAAGAATATTTTCTGTTATTTTTTTGTATTTTTTTATATCCACTATTTATTTATTTATTTTTGTATCTGAGATGGAGATTTTTTCTGTCGCCCTGCCTGGAGTGCAGTGGTGCAATCTAAGCTCACTGCAACCTCTGCCTCCTGGTTTAAGTGATTCTCCTCCCTCAGCCTCTTGAGTAGCTGGGATTATAGGTGCCTGCCACTACCCCTGGCTACTATTTTTGTACTTTTTGGTAGAGACGGGATTTCATTGTTGGCCAGCTGATCTTGAACTGCTGACCTGAAATGATCCACCCACCTTGGTCTCCCAAAGTGCTGGGATTACAAGCAGGACCCACAGTTCCTAGCCTATTTTATTTTATTTTATTTTATTTTTGAGACGGTCTTGTTCTGTTACCCAGACTGATGTGCAGTGGTACAATCTCCACTCACTACAGCCTTCCTGTCCCGGGTTCAAGCAATTCAGATGTTTCAGCCTCCCAAATAGCTGGGATTACAGCCACATGCCACCACACCCAGCTAATTTTTGTATTATTAGTAGATACAGGGTTTCACCATGTTGGCCAGGCTGGTATCAAACTCCTGACCGCATGTGATTTTTCCACCTTGGCCTCCCAGTGTGTTGGGATTACAGGAATGAGCCACCAAGCCTGGGCTGTTCCATTTATTCGCAATTTTTTAAATTGCTTTATATACTTTTTATGATTGCTTTTGAAAATTGTATCATTCTCTTCATGTCATGGGAGGCATTGAGTGTCTAAAGAAGTCCCTAAAAACCAGAAACAAAGATGTATGTGCCAATATTTCTTTTCTTTTTTTTTTGTTTTAAAAAAACCAGTAGTTGGCAATTAACATTTGTGTGTGTGTGTATGTGACAGAGTCTCACTCTGTTACCTAGGCAGGAGTACAGTGGCATGATCGAGGCTCACTGTAATCTCTGCCTCCACAGTTCAAGCAATTCTCCTGCCTCAGCCTCCCAACTAGGTAGGATTACAGGTACTTGTTACCATATCTGCTAATGTTTTGTATTTTTTGTAGAGATAGGGTTTCACCATGTCGGTCAGGCTTATCTTAAACTCCTGACCTCAGGTAATCCTCTCATGTTGTTCATCCAGTGTGCTGGCATTACAGGCATGAGCCATCATGTGTGACTGGCAATTTACTTCTTTATTTTTTGAGACAAGGTCTCATTCTGTCCCCCAGGCTGGAGTGCAGTGGCGCAGTCTCAGCTCACTGCAACCTGTGCCTCCTAGGCTCAAGTAATTCTCTGCCTCAGCCTCCGGAGTAGCTGGGATCACAGGTGCTCACAACCACACCTCAGTAATTTTTTGTATTTTTTTTTTTTGAGACGGAGTTTCGCTCTTGTTACCCAGGCTGGAGTGCAATGGTGCGATCTCGGCTCACCGCAACCTCCGCCTCCTGGGTTCAGGCAATTCTCCTGCCTCAGCCTCCTGAGTAGCTGGGACTACAGGCACGCGCCACCATGCCCAGCTAATTTTTTGTATTTTTAGTAGAGACGGGGTTTCACCGTGTTGACCAGGATGGTCTCGATCTCTTGACCTCGTGATCCACCCACCTCGGCCTCCCAAAGTGCTGGGATTACAGGCGTGAGCCACCGCGCCTGGCCCCAATTTTTTGTATTTTTATTAGAGACGAGGTTTCACCATCTTGGCCAGGGTGGTCTTCAACTCCTGACCTCAGGAGCCATGCATGTCAGACTCCCAAAATGCTGGGATTGCAGGAATGAGCCACCACGCCCGGCGGCAATTTCCTTTTTTTTTTTTTTTTTTTTTTTTGAGACGGAGTTTCGCTCCTGTTACCCAGGCTAGAGTGCAATGGCACGATCTTGGCTCACCACAACCTCCGCCTCCTGGGTTCAAGCAATTCTCCTGCCTCAGCCTCCCGAGTAGCTGGGTCTACAGGCGCGTACCACCATGCCCAGCTAATTTTTGTATTTTTAGTAGAGACGGGGTTTTCACCTTGTTGACCAGGATGATCTCGTTCTTTTGACCTCGTGATCCACCCGCCTCGGCCTCCCAAAGTGCTGGGATTACAGGCTTGAGCCACCGCGCCCGCCCGCAATTTACTTTTAAAGGCACAATGTTATGTCGGAGAGGAAGAAGAGCTGTGTTGCGTATAAGAAACAAACGTTTCTTTTTCTTCTATGTGGCTCTTTGTGCTCACCTGGGGCCCTTCACACACTTATCACATTTATAAATTTTTTCCAGATGTATTTTGGTCAGTATGTTTTTGTTACATTTATATGTCCAGGAAAAAATTTCAGCTTGTGGTATTTTGCTATGTCATCTTGCTTCAGCAGTTTGTATAATTTTATACATTACAAGTGTACTTACCTGAGTCTAGCAATTGAAGTAATGTGTTTTGTTTCTTTCAGTTATGTGTTCTCATTTTGCCAAAGACCTTTGGCCAGAGCAGAGCACAAAAGATTCTTTCCAAAAAGTCATACTGAGAAGATATGAAAAATATAGACATGATAATTTACAGATAAAAAATGGCTGTGAAAGTGTGGATGAGTCTCAGGTGCACAACAGAGTTTATAATGGACTTAACCAAAGTTTGACAGCTACCCAGAGTAAAATATTTCAACGTGATAAATATGTGAAAGTCTTTCATGAATTTTCAAATTCAAACAGACATAAGGTGAGACATACTGGGGAAAAAAATTACAAATATATAGAATGTGGCAAGGGTATTAACCAGTCCTTAACCCTTACTACACATAAGAAAGTTTATACTGGAGAGAAACCCTACAAATGTGAAGAATGTGGCAAAGCCTTCAGCTGGTCCTCACATCTTAATATACATAAGATAATTCATACTGGAGAGAAACCCTACAAATGTGAAGAATGTGGCAAAGCTTTCTACCGATCCTCAAACCTTACTACACATAAGATAATTCATACTGGAGAAAAGCCTTACAAATGTGAAGAATGTGGCAAGGCCTTTAAGCACTCCTCCAGCCTTAATACACATAAGATAATTCATTCTGGAGAGAAACCCTACAAATGTAAAGAATGTGGCAAAACCTTTAAGCACTCCTCTAGCCTTAGTACCCATAAGATAATTCATACTGGAGAGAAACCCTACAAATGTGAAGAATGTGGCACAGCCTTTAGGCAGTCCTCAAACCTTACTATACATAAGAGAATTCATACTGGAGAGAACCCCTACAAATGTGAAGAATGTGGCAAAGCCTTTAAGCAGTCCTCAAACCTTACTACGCATAAGAAAATTCATACTGGTGAGAAACCTTATAAATGTGAAGAATGTGGCAAAGCCTTTAAGAACTTATCACACCTTACTGCACATAAGATAATTCACACTGGAGAGAAACCCTACAAATGTGAAGAATGTGGCAAAGCCTTTAAGCGTTCCTCTCAACTTACTACACATAAAAGAATTCATATTGGAGAGAAACCCTACATAGTGAAGAATGTGGAAAATCTTTTAAATGTTCCTCAACCCTTAATAATCATAAGATAATTCATACTGGAGAGAAATCCCATAAATGTGATGAATACGTAATAGCCTTTAACCAACCCTCGACTCTTACTAAATATGAGAATTTACATGAAACATAAACCTTACAAATATAAAGAATGTGACAAAGATTTTCAAGTAAGTTCTCAACATGTATTACATATAATTCATACTGGACAGAAACCCTACAAGTGTGAAGAATGTGGCAAACAAGTTGTCAGTTCTTATCTTTTTTTTTGAAATGGAGTTTTACTCTTGTCACAGGCTGGAGGGCAATGGCACAATCTTGGTTCATTGCAACCTCTGCCTCCTTGGTTCAAGCCATTCTCCTGCCTCAGCCTCTCCAGTAGCTGGGATTACAGGTGCCCACAACCATGCCCAGCTAATTTGTGTACTTACGGTAGAGATGGTGTTTTGCCATATTTCCAGGCTGGTCTCGAACTCCTGACCTCAGATGATCCAGCACCTCAGCCTCCTAAAGTGCTGGGATTACAGGCATGAGCCACCACACTTAGCCACAAGTTTTCAATTCTTAAGAGACGGGTTGGGATTCACTCAGGGTGGTGGCAGAGATATTAAGGGAGAATATTAGAAATAGTTGCAGTGAGATGTTTGCATAGTTTCAGTACAAGTTTTGGCTGGAGGCAGCCAAAACCCCCTTTACATTTAGTGAATAAGAAAAGCAAATAGCTAGGGAATGTAAGGGAGTTCATCTGAATAGTTTGTTTACCCAATAACCTGTGATCACTCTGGGTGGCCTGGGAGAGGGGATGTCCACCAGGGAGATTACCTGTTAATGGTGTTTACTCCGGGCTTTGGTAACTGCTTTAATCATTCGTAAAACCTTTCTTGTAACGATGTTAATTATCCACAAGGATGTTGACTTGGAATCTCTGTTATTAAATCTATACTGAATAAATGTGAGAAGGAACAACTAGTGGTTGTCATTTAGATGCGATTGCTCATTTTCTGTCTGTGAGCAGCTCACAATCCCTCAGCTCAACTCATACACTATTCTGTGAGTGTATTTATCTGTCACTGAGTCAGGGTCTGCAGGACAGATCCCCACAGTGTGTTGACTCCAACATGACCAATGTCATCATGGTGGTAATTCATGCTGAAGAGAAACTCTGCAAACCTTAAAGATGTGACAGTGCTTTTATCAACACCTCCAACTTTTCTATACATTTGAAAAATTGTAGGCTTGGCGCAGTGGCTCATGCTTGTAATTGCAGCACTTTGGGAGGCTGAGGCGGTTGGATCACAAGGTCAGGAGATCCAGACCAGCCTGGTTAACATGGTGAAACCCCTTGTCTACCAAAAATGCAAAAAGTAGCTGGGCATGGTGGTGCATGCCTGTAATCTCAGCTACTGGGGAGGCTGAGGCAGGAGAATCGCTTGTACCAGGAAATCGGGGGGTGCAGTGAGCCAAATCATGCACTGGTGACAGAGGGAGTCTCCATCTCAAGAAAAGAAAATTGTGGGAAACTCTAGAAATGTATGAAATGTGACAAAGCCTTTATGGTTACCACACTTGATTGTAGGTAAGATAATTCATACTGGTAAAACTACAAGTGTCAAGAATGTGGCAGACTTTTATTATTATTTTATTTATTTATTTATTTAAAGACAGGGTTTCACCATGTTGGTCAGGCTGGTCTTGAACTCCTGACCTCAGGTGATCTGCCCGCCTTGGCCTCCAAAGTGCTTGGATTACAGGCGTGAGCCCCCACACCCAGCCCGTGGCAAAACTTTTAATCCGTGCTTACACCTTATTTCACAGGAAAGCTATTGCCCTTGAGAAAAATTGTACAAATATAAATATGGAAAAGCTATTAAGACCTACTCACATCTTAACATAAGAAGGTTCATAGTTGATAAAAGCATTGAAAGTGCAATTATTGTCAAAAATCTTTCTGAAAATATAAGCCTTTAATGTTAAGAATATTTTTTTTTTTTTTTTTTTTAAAGGAAATGGGAAGGCTGGCACTGGTTGCCCAGCCCCAAGCACCCGCTGGAAAAAGTATTGTTAGGAACCATTATGAATATAAGGGGGGTTGTAGTGCCTTTACTTGTATTACAAATCTTGTTGCATACATTTTGTACTAGAGGAAAACCCTAAAGAAGCTGCTCAAGCTTTGTTCAAATTCAGGGAATTGGCTGGGTGTTGTGGCTCACGCCTGTAATCCCACCACTTTGGGAGGCTGAGGCTGGTGGATCACGAGGTCAAGAGATAGAGCATCTTGGCCAATATGGTGGAAGCCCATCTCTACAAAAATTAGCCAGACGTGGTGGCATGCAACTGTAGTACCACATACTTGGGAGGCTAAGGCACTAAGGCAGAAGAATCACTGGAATCCAGGAGGTGGATGTTGTAGTGAGCCGAGATCACACCACTACACTCCAGCCTGCGTGACAGAGTGACTTCATCTCAAATTTTTTTTTTTGAGAGAGTTTTTGCTCTTGTTACCCAGGCTGGAGTGCAATGGCACGATCTCGGCTCACCGCAACCTCCGCCTCCCGGGTTCGGGCAATTCTCCTGCCTCAGCCTCCTGAGTAGCTGGGATTACAGGCACGCACCACCATGCCCAGCTAATTTTTTGTATTTTTAGTAGAGACGAGGTTTCACCATGTTGACCAGGATGGTCTCGATCTCTTGACCTCGTGATCCACCCGCCTCGGCCTCCCACAGTGCTGGGATTACAGGCTTGAGCCACCGCGCCCGGCCTTTCAAAAATTTTTAAAAAAGGACAGCTGCCAGATTAAATGTGATCGTTTATGCACATCAGCTGCAAAAAGATAATTGAAAATGAAGAGAAAAATAAGATGCACAATGGCTCACGCCTATATTTCCAGCGCTTTGGGAGGCTGAGGCGGGCAGATCATGAAGTCAAGACCATCCTGGTGAGCATGATGAAACCCCATCTTTACTAAAAGTAAGAAAAAATTAGCTGGTTTTAATTTTTTTATTCTTAGTAGACACAGGGTTTTACCATGTTGTCCAGGCTGGTCTCGAACCCCTGAAGTGAGGTGATCCGTGTGGCCTGGCCTTCCGAAGTGCTTGGATTACAGGCATGAGGCACCACGTCTGGCCTAAAATAAAATATTTCATAATCAAGCTTAAGTTTATGTACCTCCTTCAGGCTCCTGAACTTTGGGCTACCCTCAGTCTGAGTCAACTTACAACCCCAGTTTATGTTCCTCCTCAGAACATGCCGACTTCAGTTACAACATTCTCTGATCTAAAATCTGCCATTTGTCATTCCCCCCTCATATCCTTTCTAATCTTATTTGTTCCTCCCTAGAAGAGAAAGCTGTTTTTCTGCCTACATTTTTGCAAGCCATAAAGATCTTATAGTTGGTACTTCCTCATGTTGCAAACATTTTAGGAATTCATTTTTTATACATAAATCTAACGTTTTACCCGGGCACGGTGGCTGACTCCTGTAATCCCAGCACTGGGGAGGCAGAGCTGGGCGGATCACAAGGTCAGGAGTTGAAGACCAGCCTGACCAATATGGTGAAATCCTGTCTCTGGTAAAAAATACAACAAAAATTAGTGGGGCTAGTGAGCCATGCCTGTAGTCCCAGCTACAGTCGTGCTGAGGCAGGAGAATCGCTGGAACCGGGAAGTGAGGTTGCAGTGAGCCCAAAACATTCCAGGGAGTTCTCTGGAAAAAGGAAAAGAGGCACAGATATATTTTTTATAATACAGTGTGAGGGGATTACTCTTTGCTTCGCATGGGAAATATTTACAAACAAAACATTTTTCAATAGTGTTATGCCATCCTTTTTACAAAATGATTAATTGAGGAACGCTTGAGGCCCTGCTTGGGACACGTGAAAAATGCCAGGGAAAATCAGTCCCCTGTGGGGTGCGAAAATAATTAAATGGCAGTAAATTAGACTGAGGAGGCTCTAGGTCCCAGATTCCTACTTCTTTTTTTTTTATTTTTATTTTTTGAGACGGAGTTTCGCTCTTGTTACCCAGGCTGGAGTGCAATGGCGTGATCTCGGCTCACCGCAACCTCCGCCTCCTGGGTTCAGGCAATTCTCCCGCCTCAGCCTCCTGAGTAGCTGGGATTACAGGCACATGCCACCATGCCCAGCTAATTTTTTGTATTTTTAGTAGAGACGGGGTTTCACCATGTTGACGAGGATGGTCTCGATCTCTTGACCTCGTGATCCACCCACCTCAGCCTCCCAAAGTGCTGGGATTACAGGCGTGAGCCACCGCACCCGGCTCCTACTTCTTAAAAAAAAAAAAAAAAAATTGTAAACTCAAGTGCGTCTTTTGGTAAATTACATTAGAGGAAACAAAATTCAGGCTTAAACAACTATAAACTGCCAAAAAAATACTGGTCTTTCCAGTTATAGAATGCTCTATGAAATTCCTTATTTATACTCCACTGCTAGCATTCTCACATTTAAAACAAGAAATCAATTTCCTAAAAATTCTTTTTCTTTTTTTTTAAATACGGGGTTTCACCATGTTGGTCCGGCTGGTCTTGAACTCCTGACCTCAGGTGCTCTGCCTGCCTTGGCCTCCAAAGTGCTTGGATTACAGGCGTGAGCCACCATGCCCAGCCTGCTTTTTCTTCTCTTAAAACCAAAAGTCTAACACAAGCACCACGCCTGGAGTTTCCAGTACATCAACACCAGCCTGGGGATCATGTCCTCATCAGAAGCTGGAGAGAGAAAAAACTCAAACCAGCCTGAAAGGGACCCTACCAAGTTCTCCTAACTCCTGAAACCACAGTCTGAACAACAAAAAAAGGATGGACCCATCACACCTGAGTCAAAAAAGTGCCACTCTCTCCGGATCATGGGCCCCAGTTTTAGGGGAGAACCCTACGAAACTAAAGCTGAGAAAAGTTTAGCTCTCAACTGTTTTTTTTTTTTTTTTTCCTCTGAGACAGAGTTTCACTCTTGTTACCCAGGCTGGAGTGCAATGGCGCTATCTCAGCTCACCGCAACCTCCGCCTCCTGGGTTCAGGCAATTCTCCTGCCTCAGCCTCCCGAGTAGCTGAGATTACAGGCACGCGCCACCATGCCCAGCTAATGTTTTGTATTTTTAGTAGAGACGGGGTTTCACCATGTTGACCAGGATGGTCTCGATCTCTTGAGCTTGTGATCCACCCGCCTCGGCCTCCCAAAGTGCTGGGATTACAGGCGTGAGCCACCACGCCCGGCCCTCAACTCTTCTATTACTCCTTCTTTTCCCCTTCGATTGCTAATCTTCTGGTTATTAATGTAACTAGGTTGGGCTCACCTTAAACCATTACCTTTAATGCTTGCCTTGTTATGCCTTGTGAAATTCTCCAAAGTGAGAAACAGCTCTCAGCCTCAGAGAAATACCTCTGTACCTTTCAGACAGGAGACTTCCCCTATCTTGACTCCTGTTTTTTTGACAAATGTGAAAAAAGCCTGTCACAGCTGGAGTGATGTTTTATGAACAACTGAATATCAGGGATGGACCTCATCAACAGGTGGTTGTATGTCCTTAAAGCCATACATTCACTTTGCTAAAGAAAACACCCCTTTCAATTGCCAGTTTAACTAGTGTAATCCAGTAGAAATTTCTTTTTTTTCTTTTTGAGACAGAGTTTCGCTCTTGTTACCCAGGCTGGAGTGCAATGGCATGATCTCAGCTCACCGCAACCTCCGCCTCCTGGGTTCAGGCAGTTCTCCTGCCTCAGCCTCCTGAGTAGCTGGGATTACAGGCACGCGCCACCATTCCCAGCTAAGTTTTTGTATTTTTGGTAGAGACGGGGTTTCACCATGTTGACCAGGATGGTCTCGATCCCTTGACCTTGTGATCCACCCGCCTTGGCCTCCCAAAGTGCTGGGATTACAGGCTTGAGCCACCGCGCCCGGCCTCTTTTCCTTTTTTTTAAATTTTTTTATTATTTTTATTTTTTTAGAGATGGGGTTTCACCATATGGACCAAGCTGGTCTCAAACTCCTGACCTCAAGTAATCCACCCGCCTCGGCCTCTCAAAGTGCTGGGATTACAGCCATGAGCCACTGTGCCGGCCTAAGTAGCTCCTTTCCAAGACCCCACAGCCTGGGGTAATAAATCCTGCTGAGCTCTCTCTCTCTTTGCTATTCCCTAAAGTCCAACATCCTGTGGGTCAGCCTCTGAGAGCCATATAGCCTCCATCTCCTAGTGTCTATTTTACCTGTGTCTCTCATGACAAGTGGACATGGCATTTCTTTTTTTTTTTCCGAGCTAGCTGAGATTTTATTATTTTGGACCAAAAAAAAAAAAAAAAGCCAATTGAATTGTTTTGCAGCTGGAGGCATGGGCAAGGGGGGTTCCCCAGGCAGTAAACTCCCCACAGGTGAGCTGAGGGCTAGGGCTGAGCGTTGGGTGGGTCTCCCGTTCCCTGTGCTCCTCTGCACAGCAACCTCCCTCCCGGGCTCTGGGGCAGCCTCAGGAGGGGCAGGCTGGGAGGGGCTGTTGCAGCTGTTCACTTGGGCAGGACATCAGAGGACTCGGACACCAGCCTCCCATCGCGGGTCTCAATCTTCTTCACAACCACGGCCTTGGTGGAGCTGGTGCGGCTGAAGGCGGAGCCCGTGCCAGAGCCCAGGCTGTAGCTGAGGCTGGGGCTTGTGAGGCCCCCATAGGCAGAGCTCAGACCACCTGCATAGCTGCTGGTGGTCTTTGTGTGGATACTCATGTTCTGCATCCCAGACTCCAGCCGGCTCTCCTCGCCCTCCAGTAGCTTGCGGTAGGTGGCGATCTCGATGTCCAGGGCCAGTTTGACGTTCATCAGCTCCTGGTAGTCACGCAGCTGCCGTGCCAGGACATGGTATTTCTTAGAGACTTAATGGGATACACTGAGCTTACGCCTTTCCAAGAGCTTACCAGCCTGCCCTTGTTCATCCTGGAGCGTATGGTGGTATTGTGGTGGGCCCTTACTGGACACTCTGCCAAGTAACTGGAATGGCACTTGGCACTCTTGTCCAATTGGCTATCCCTTTCACCCTGGCATTTCATCAACCAGAAAAAGAAAAACCACCACACCGTAACCTACAAGAAGCCCCTTTAAGGGTCTTTTGACTCTCAAGTTTATTGAGATATAATTGGAGTCCCGCAGTGGGTACCTGATAAATTCAAAGCCCAAGATCAAATAGCTGCAGGATTTAAATCAATATTTCCATGGGTAACTATTTGTTTTTTAATTCTTCTTTTTTTTTTTGAGACGGAGTTTCGCTCTTGTTACCCAGGCTGGAGTGCAATGGCGCGACCTCGGCTCACCGCAACCTCCGCCTCCTGGGTTCAGGCAATTCTCCTGCCTCAGCCTCCCGAGTAGCCGGGACTACAGGCATGCGCCACCATGCCCAGCTAATATTTTGTATTTTTAGTAGAGACGGGGTTTCACCGTGTCTACCAGGATGGTCTCGATCTCTTGACCTCGTGATCCACCCGCCTCGGCCTCCCAAAGTGCTGGGATTACAGGCGTGAGCCACCGCGCCCGGCCTCCATGGGTAACTATTAATAAAAATGTAGATTATGGTATTCAGAGACCAGAAAAGAAACAAAATGTAGATTAGATAAATTACATCTATTGTAATCAACAGCAGTTTATTATTTACACCAGAAATGCTGTCAAAGAAATAGCTGAGCAATTAAGGCCTACTAGCCAGATAACTTAGAAAAACAAAATGGCCCTAGACATAATATTAGCTAAAAATGGAGGAGTTTGTGTTATGATTAAAACTCAGTGTAGCATCTTTATCCCAAACAATACTGCCCCCAATCAGAACATAACAAGGACCTTACAAGGATTTACCACTTTCTCGAATGAATTAGCTAAAAATTCTGGAGTCACTAACCCGTTTTTAGAACGGCTAGAGAGATGGCTCAGTAAATAAAAAGAAATATAGCCTCAATTCTTTTTTTTCTTTTTTCTTTCTTTTTTTCTTAAAGACAGGGTTTCACCGTGTTGGTCAGGCTGGTCTTGAGCCCCCGACCTCAGATGATCCGCCCGCCTTGGCCTCCAAAGTGCTTGGATTACAGGCGTGAGCCACCACACCCGGCCAGCCTCAATTCTTATTTCTCTTACAGCTATAATAGGTTTACTCATTCTTGTTGCATGTTCTGTCATACCGTGCATCCATGGACTAGTACGAAGACTTATATAAACAACACTTATTAAAAGCTCCCAGGCCAGGCTCGGTGGCTCGTGCCTGTAATCCCAGCATTTTGGGAGACCAAGATGGGCGGATCACGAGGTCAGGAGATCGAGACCAGCCTGGCTCACATGGTAAATCCCTGTCTCTACTAAAAATACAATAATTAGCTGGGCATGGTGGTGCACGCCTGTAGTCCCAACTACTTGGGAGGCTGAGGCAGGAGAACCACTTAAACCTGGGAGGCAGAGATTGCAGTGAGCCGAGATAGCTCCATTGCACTCCAGCCTGGCAAAAGAGCAATACTCCAACTCAAAAAATAAAATAAAATAAAATAAAACCTCCCTTAGTTCTACTTCACCTCATTGAGATAAACGTTTCCTTTTAAAAGATCACGCTAGTGCTCGCTTCAGCAGCACATATACTAAAGTTGGAACGATGCAGAGAAGATTAGCAAAACAAAAATTAAATATTTAAAATATATATAAAAGATCACGTGAAACAACAAAGCCGACATGTTAAAAAGCTTTAAAAAAGGAAACTGTAAAATACAATAAAATTCATCTTCGAAGGTTTTAGCCTGTTAAATTCCCTGTTGCTTGTTCTCACAATCAATTTTCTTGTTCTCTATGCCTCCTTGTCCCTAGTTACTGTAACAACCTTCCTTCCTGTCAACTCTAATCAATAACTCACATCTGTTGCCCTTGGTTACTCACTCTGCACCCATTCCATCCTTCAAAACCCCAAGTCCCACCACTGTGACTCATACATCGCCCTTCCCATCCTTACTTGGAATAATATTCAGTTTAGATTGTGTAGTCTGATCCCAGCCCATAGGGGAGTGACACAGATGTAGATTCTTTTTTTTTTTTTTTTTTTTTTTTGTTTGCGTGAGACGGAGTTTCGCTCTTGTTACCCAGGCTGGAGTGCAATGGCGCGATCTCGGCTCACCGCAACCTCCGCCTCCTGGGTTCAGGCAATTCTCCTGCCTCAGCCTCCTGAGTAGCTGGGATTACAGGCACACGCCACCATGCCCAGCTAATTTTTTGTATTTTTTAGTAGAGACAGGGTTTCACCATGTTGACCAGGATGGTCTCGATCTCTTGACCTCGTGATCCACCCGCCTTGGCCTCCCAAAGTGCTGGGATTACAGGCTTGAGCCACCGCGCCCGGCCCAGATGTAGATTCTTTACGTTAAAAATAAAAGCCCTGGGCCAGGCAATCCCAGCACTTTGGAAGGCCAAGGCGGGCAGATTACCTGAAGTCAGGAGTTTGAGACCAGCCTGACCAACATGAAGAAACACCATCTTTACTAAAAATACAAAATTAGCCAGGTATGGTGGCGCATCCCTGTAATGCCAGCTACTCGGAAGGCTGAGGTAGGAGAATCACTTAAATCCAAGAGCCAGAGGTTGCGGTGAGACAAGATCGTGTCACTGCACTCCAGCCTGGGTGACAAGAGTGAGACTCCTGCTCCAACCAACCAACAAACAAACCCTTCCCTCCTTTGTTCAGGGTGCTCTTGCAATCCTGATTAACACAAACAACACCCTTTTTGCAGAAGTAACTTGCCTTTTTTTTTTTTTTTTTCTGTGATGGAGTTTCGCTCTGCCGCCCAGTCTGGAGTGCAGTAGCGAGATCTCAGCTCACTACAACCTCTGTCTTCAGGGTTCACGCTATTCTACTGCCTAATCTCTCAAGTAGCTGGGACTACAGGCATCCACCACCACGCCCTGCTAATTTTTGTAGTTTTAGTAGAGACGGTTTCACCATATTGGCCAGGCTCGTCTGAAACTTATAACCTCGTGATCTGCCCGCCTCTGTCTCCCAAAGTGCTGGGATTATAGGCGTCAGCCACCGAGCCCGGCCCTGTCCACCTTTTAAATAAATTCAAAAACAGAAAGGGTAAAAAAGAGAGAATTTTCCCATGCTCTGGGATGGGCCTGGCTCAGCTCCTGGAGGAAGCCCAGTTTGAAAAGGCTGCAGCTAGGCCGGGCGTGGTGGCTCAAGCCTGTAATCCCAGCACTTTGGGAGGCCGAGGCGGGTGGATCACGAGGTCAAGAGATCGAGATCATCCTGGTCAACATGGTGAAACCCCGTCTCTGCTAAAAAAAAACTACAAAAAAAAATTAGCTGGGCATGGTGGCGCGTGCCTGTAGTCCCAGCTACTCAGGAGGCTGAGGCAGGAGAATTGCTTGAACCCAGGAGGCGGAGGTTGCGGTGAGCCGAGATCGCGCCATTGCACTCCAGCCTGGGTAACAAGAGCGAAACTCCGTCTCCAAAAAAAAAAAAAAAAAGAAAAGGCTGCAGCTGAGGCCGTCACTCTTCACTCAGCCCAGCATCTGATCCCATCTGTCACTCAGAGCCTGAGGGGGTGGGACCTTAAGTATTGTCCAATCACGGACGCTGGGCTGGAAACCGTCCAATCAGGCACGCAGCTGGAGCGAACAGGACCCGCTTTGGGGTTTGGCCCGGCCTTTGTGTCTCGCCGCAGCGGGAGCTCCAGGTTTGTCTTCACTGCTCTGCGTCCTCTGCTACTAGAGGCCCAGGCTTTGTGGCCCTGTGACCTGCAGGTGCACGGAGATCCGCAGCTAAGACGCCGGGACCCACGGAAGCCTAGAAATGGTGAGAGCGCCGGTCCAACATACCGAGAGAGGGGAGGGCCTGGTTGAAGCCGGTGGGAAGTGGCTGTGGCGGGACTCGGGCCTCCCTGCGGTTGGCGGGTAGCCCAAGGTCCAGGAGCCTGAGGAAGGAAGATAAACTTAAGTACAGTTTTATTAAGAAATATTTTAAAGGCCGGGCGCGGTGGCTCACGCCTATAATCCCAGCACTTTGGGAGGCCGAGGCGGGTGGATCACGAGGTCAAGAGATCGAGACCATCCTGGTCAACATGGTGAAACCCCGTCTCTACTAAAACTACAAAAAATTAGCTGGGCGTGGTGGCGCGTGCCTGTAATCTCAGCTACTCAGGAGGCTGAGACAGGAGAATTGCCTGAACCCAGGAGGCGGAGGTTGCAGTGAGCCGAGATCACGCCATTGCACTCCAGCCTGGGTAACAAGAGCGAAACTCCGTCTCAAAAAAAAAAAAAAAAAAAAAAAAAAAAAGAAATATTTTAAGCCAGGTGCTGTGGCTCATGCCTGTAATCCCAGCACTTAGGGAAATTGAGGCAGGCAGATCACCTGAGGTTAGGAGTTTGAGTGCAGCCTGGCCAAGAAGGCGAAACCCTGTGTCTACTAAAAATATAAAAACTAGCCAGGTGTAGTGGCAGGCGACACCTTCCACGACACCTCAACCTTGAAAAGCTGAGGCAGGAGAATTGCTTAAACACGGGAGGTCGAGGTTGCAGTGAGTCGAGATCACGCCACTGCACTCCAACCTGGGCTACAGAGTGAGACTCCATCTCAAAAAAAAAAAAAAGAAAAGGAATATTTTAGTTTGACCACTGAAGACAAGTTCAGCTAAATTTTTTTTTTTTTTAAAGACAGGGTTTCACCATGTTGGTCAGGCTGGCCTTGAACTCCCGACCTCAGGTGATCCACCCGCCTTGGCCTCCAAAGTGCTTGGATTACAGGCGTGAGCCACCACGCCCGGCCTCAGCTAAATTTTTTAATGAGAGAAAGGAGAAAATGTGCAGAGTGTGTCTGGCTGTGTGATAAGAAAAGAGAGCACTAGGCCGGGCGCGGTGGCTCAAGCCTGTAATCCCAGCACTTTGGGAGGCCGAGGCGGGTGGATCACGAGGTCAAGAGATCGAGACCATCCTGGTCAACATGGTGAAACCCCGTCTCTACTAAAAATACAAAAAATTAGCCGGGCATGGTGGCGCGTGCCTGTAATCCCAGCTACTCAGGAGGCTGAGGCAGGAGAATTGCCTGAACCCAGGAGGCGGAGGTTGCGGTGAGCCGAGATCGCGCCATTGCACTCCAGCCTGGGTAACAGGAGCGAAACTCCGTCTTATAGCTACTCACGCGAGATCGGAAGAGCGTGAGTAGAAAAAAAAAAAAAAGAAAAGAAAAGAGAGCACCGTCTAAGACATGGTGGGAAGGGTGTTTCTTTCCATAAACTGTTCCTGGAGCACACAGGATGGAGAATTTTATTAATCACAAACATTTTCCAGGATTATCTATGTGTTTCATCTTTCCCCATCTCATTTCTTTGTTCTATGCATTTCTTCCATTTGGCTTTTTCTGGGCTGCATCTTAAACCGGTAAACATAACTAAAGTGTAGCTTGACTTAAATAAGCTGTCTAATTATATTCATGTTGGAGAGTTCTGTGAGTCCCTAGTTTTTTTTTGTTGTTGTTTGTTTTTTTGTTTTTTTTTTTTTTT